AAAAAAAAAAATCTTTGAAAGGATACCGGCACAACACTTAGCGCACTGGTCAAAGAGGATACAAGAAGAGGATCCAGCATAGAAACAGAAGACAGTCCACAGACTTTACTTTTACAGATGGATGCCCAGCTGGGCCAGGCCATTTTGTAAATACTCCAGACTTAATCTTTGCTCCAGTCTATTCATTAGGTTACAATAGCCTGTCTGAAGGAGGAGAGGTTTCCTTATCTCGGTTGTAATGGAGTACACCCTTTCTTATCTCAGAACCTTGAGAAACACACTTGGTCAAGGCCAACACACAGGGAAAATTGAGTCACTTTCTCTCAGGGCATATATCACCCCATGGGAAGGATGAAGGTGTTGACACAGATTGCATAATTCCTCTGGGTCACTTTAGTTCAGAGGTTCCCCACTGTGTGACATTAGGGACAGGTTTCACAGGAGATGATTTTTCCACGGATGCGGGTCCTGGAGGGGATGGTTTGGGATGATTCAAGTACGTTTTATCTCCACTTCAGAGCATCAGGCATTAGATTCTTATAAGGAGCAGACAATCTACATCTCTCGTGTGCACAGTTTGCGCTGCTATCTAACAAAAGGCCACGCTCAGGCAGTAATGCGAGACATAGGGAGCAGCTGTAAATACACATGAAGCTCTGTTCATTTGCCTGCCTGTCCACTGCTCACCTCTTGCTGTGTGGCCTGGTTCCTAACGGGCCATAGACTGGTAGAAGTCCACAGCACAGGGTCAGGGACCGCAGCTTTAGTTCACTTCAGAATCTCTAGAGTGGAAATCAACAGACAGAATTACCCTGAGAGACCTGGGAAACTCAGAACACTGGGGATATGCCAGCATTTTCATCGGAATCAGAATTGACCCAAAGTCCCAGCTCTGATCCAGAAGGCATTACTAGAACTGCCAGATCTCTCTTTCTGCATTAGTTTCCTCATCCACATAAGCACCAGAACGCTCTACCTCGTCATCTCCACTGGTTACTTCCAGTTCTGACATCCTATCACTGCTCCCTCCTCTCTCCACCTTACTGCCACCTTTTTGCAGAAGCCTGCTGCAGGGTAGGTCTTCCCCAAAGTCACCTACTGATGAACTTCAGAAACAGACAAGAATTCAGGTTTAGTGCTTTTTCCATTATGGACTCAAATTTACTTCTCATGCTTATAGATCTTAAACACCTTCAATTTCAAAACTTCTTGGTCATTGAGCCCTTTTGATTGGAAAAAGATCCCATGGGTCATTTAAGTGAGTGGTGATGTCAAATTTTACTGCTGGGTAGGGTAACACAGAAGAAAAAACTAAAATCTGATCAGTCTCACTTTTATCATTTTTGAGACAGAGTCTCCTTCTGTCACCCTGGGTAGAGTGCTATGGTGTCATAGCTCACAGCAACTTCTATCCTCTTGCCTTAGCCTCCTGAGTAACTGGGACTATAGGTGCCCACCACAACACCCAGCTAGTTTCTCTACTTTTAGTAAAGAAGGGGTCCCACTCTTGCTCTGGTGGGTCTCAAACTCCTGAGCTCAAGCATTCCACTTGCCTTAGCCTTCCAAAGTGCTAGGTGTGAGCCACTGTGCCTGGCTGATCAGTCCCACTTAAAACACTGCGCTACGACTCTGTTGTTGGCTCTTTAGAAACTACTAACTATAATCAATGAGGTAAATAGTATTACTTTCAATGACATAAATAAAATTTGTACTTATAGCTTTATTAATACCGTAAGTCAGCCATGATGGCTCACACCTGTAACCCTAGTACTTTGGTAAACTAAAATGAGAGAATCACTTGAGGCCAAGAGTTTGAGACCAGACTGGGCAACACAGGGAGACCCTATCTCAAAAAAAAAAAAAAAAAAAGAAAGAAAGAAATGAAGTTAACCAGGCATAGTGATGTGTGCCTTCCCAAGTCCCTACTTGGGAAGCTGAGCTGAGAGGATTGTTTGTGCCCAGGAGTTTGAGGCTACAATGGTTTATGATCATGCTGGGAGACAAAGCTTAACAAAAAAACCACTATGAATATACATTGATTCAATAATTTATTAATTAATGGAAGACTTTATAGCAAGACTGAATTATGTTAGTACTATGACAAAATGCTAGTAATTTTTACTACAGGCCTTGAAAAAATGTATTTCAAAACTTTGCCTCACTATATTTTCAACTTTGTAGTAAGAGTAATCCTAAAATCTTCCAGCCTTTCCCTCCCTTATGTTTAATAGCTTTTGTTTATCTAGCTCCCTTTATTCTACATCTATTATTATTTTCTGCTCACTTTATTCTGTGAAATGAAGCTTGACAATACAGAGATCTTATCTTGACCAGAGAAGATGAAGAATTTGGAACACACAGATGTTAAAGAATTGCTAAATAGATTTTGGATCCCATGTTACTTGTCCTTATCTTCCATTGAGGTACATGTGTCAAATCTACATAAGCAAAGCAGAGTTGGTCCTGTTGCCAGTCAGCATTATTCCTACGATGTAGAACCATGCTCCCTAAATGGTATTCATTAATGAAGAAATTTACCTGTAAATACTGTCAAAGATCTGATTTTTTTGTTTGTGAGCAAAACTTCTGAATGACATTCACATGATGAGAAAAGATATCAAGGGACCAGGCGTGGCGGCTCACGCCTGTAATCCTAGCACTCTGGGAGGCTGAGGTGGGTGGACAGCTTGAACTCAGGAATTTGAGACTAGCCTGAGCAAAGGCATCTCTACTAAAAATAGAAAAACTCGTCCAGTCAGGTGTTGTGGCAGGTACCTATAGTCCCGGCTACTTGGGAGACTTAGGGAAGAGGATCACTTGAGCCCAAGAGTTTGAGGTTAGAAGAAGAAACCAGGAGGAGAAAATGGGTAGACAAAAGTAATCATTTTTAGTAGGATTTATAGAAAGTCTTCCTGTGGATCTCAGTCTATATATGCATAAAACTGTTATGGTAATTACGTAGCAAGAGTCTGTGGAAAATTCTAACCAAAATACTTCAGAAGGGGGTTTACCATTTTGTCTTTAGTGTATTACACAGTAACGATCATGACAGAAATGATGATGAGGACAACCAGTATATAGGGAGCATCTACTAAGGGCCAGGTACACATTATCTCATTTAACCCTTCATGTAACAAACCTATGAGGTAGGAGCTATTTGTAGCCTCGTATAGGTGAAGAAACTGAGGCACAGAAAGGTGAAGTGAACTTGTCCAAAGTCTCAAGGCCACTAGTGAAATTCCTAGGTGTGAACTGCCAGGACTATGGACACCTGAGGGGATTTGTTGTTATAACCCGACCTACCATTCTGAAGTCCTCTTCAAACTTGAAAGCCCCACCTCCCGTGGCACAGAGGGTGGTGTGAAGGCTGGAAAAGTTCTTCTCGCTGCCCATCTGAATGAACCTGTGCATGGCACAGCTGGGGAAGCGGATGAAGTGGAGGTTCCCTTTGCGCCCACACATGGTCAAGTTTTTCAGTTCCAGGTGGACGTCCCGGATCCCGGTTTTCCCATAAGCAGTGTTAGAAGTCAGATACTTCCGGATGCTCTTCAGGTTCTCTACCTCCTCTTGTTCCTCTTCGGCTGTAATATCCTTTGGTTCAAAGTAGACCAACTTAACCAGTGTTCCACCAATGTCCATGCCGAACCACGGGAACGCTAGAGGACAGAAAGAGCGCTGCTGAATTCCACACATGCAAGGAACTGTTCAGATTTTTGCATATTAAATAAGAAAATGCAGTGTCAGGCTACATGTGCATTTAACATTCAGTTTACTTTAACTCAACTATATGTGCCTAAAGGAAACCACAGGCAGAGAGAATTTCACAATTTTTTAAAAAATTTTCTTTTCTTTTAGTTTTTCTTTTCATTTCCTTGCCTTTTTTTTTTTGTTGTTATTGTTGAGACAGAGTCCCACCCTATGTCCTGAGCAGAACACACTGGTGTCATAGCTCACTGCAACCTCAGACTCAGGCTGGGGCGTCCTGCTGCCTCAGTCCCTGGAAGTCACTGGGATTACAGGTGCTCGAGGCAGCACTGGCTGGGTTTTTGATTTTTTGAGTCGGGGTTTCACTCTCGCTCAGGCAAGTCTGAACTCCTGAGCTCAAGCAATTCTCCCTCTTCAGCTTCCCACAGTGCTGGGATGACAGGCGTGAGCGACGATGCCCAGCAGAATTTTGCAATTTAAAGGGTACCCAGTACTCTGCCCACATTCTACTCAATGAGTTTGTCTCAGAACGGGGTGAGATGACCAATAGCATGCTGCATTTTCCTAAACCAGTCTCAATGCCCATGTGCTTCTTGGGGCTTAAGTATCTCACCAAGCTGAGTGCTTTTCTAGTATTTACATATATATTGCATACACTATGGCTCCCAAATGCTAACCATTTTATCAGAATCTTAGTCAAAGAAAATGATCTGTTTCAATCCCAGAGGAAAAACTGCAATGTGAGTGTACTAAGAGACAGTGTGTTGGTCTCCAACTCACATGGCATCTTCCTGGTGTGTTTATCAATGATTCAGTTTTTGCCTCATGAGCTGACTTTGTAAGACACCACTATGCTGTTTTCTTAATCTACACAATATATACAGAGGAGAAAGGGCATGAAAGTAGACTATGAGAGGTGATCAGCAGACATGATGATTTACGGGGGCGAATTCTAAACAGAACAATTCATGTTATATCTGATTTCTTCTGCATCAAGCAGAGACACTCCATCCCAAGTGGCCTGTGGCCTACCCAGAATGTCTCAACCTGGCTGCAAGTTAAAATCACCTGGGAAGCTTTTTCTGGTCTCTTCGCCCACAAATTTTGATTTAATTCAGGTGTATTCTCCCACAAATTTTGATTTAATTCAGGTGTAGGACCCAACTATGAGCTTTTCTTTTTTTTTCTTGGCCGGGCCCAGCTTTGAACCCGCCATATGGGGCCAGCACCCTTCTCCTTTGAGCCACAGGCGCTGCCCAAGTATGAGCATTTTTTAAAAGTTCACAGTGGTGGCTTGGCACCTGTAGCTCAAGAGGTTAAGGCGTCAGCTCTTCGAACACCAGAGCTTGCAGGTTTGAATCCAGCCCGGGCCTGCCAAAACAACAATGACAACTATAACCAAAAACTGGCCAGGCATTTTGGTGGGTGCCTGTAGTCCCAACTACTTGGTAGGCTGAGGCAAGAGACTCACTTAAGCCCAGGAGTTGGAGGTTGCTGTGAGCTATAATACATGGCACTCAACCCAGGGCAAGAGTTTGAGGCTCTGTTTCAAAAAAAAAAAAAAAAAAAAGTTAGCAGTGGTTCCAATCTGCAGGCTTGAGAACTACTCAACCAGAGGCAACGTGGGCAGTGACAGGCGAGCCTGCAGGTACCCGCAGCTCCTGCTCAGGTCTGAAATACAGAGGCATGTATCCGGGTGTGTGTATCTACTTAATTTGCTTGAGATGTTTACCTAAGACAAAATCAATCTCCATCATGGCAATTTCAATTACTGTTAAGAGAACAGGCTGACTTTATTTAGAGGTAGCCTGTTAAGTTAATGCTGCAATGACTCTTTTTGGAAGCAGGGTCTTGATCTGTCTCTCCCAGGCAAGAGCTCAGTGGCACAATCATAGCTCACTGCAACCTCGTACTCTTGGGCTCAAGTAATCCTCCTGCCTAAGCCTCCTGAGTAGCAGATTACAGGCACACATTACCACACCTATCTAATTTTTATTTTTTTTAATTTAATTTTTTTCTTTCTTTTTTTTTTTTAGAGACAGAGCCTCAAGCTGTCACACTGGGTAGAATACTATGGAATCACAGCTCACAGCAACCTCCCACTCCTGGGCTCAAGCGATTCTCCTGCCTCTACCTCCCAAGTAGCTGGGACTACAGGCACCTGTTGTGATACCCAGCTATTTTTGATTGCAGCCATCATTGTTGTTTGGTGGGCCCAGGCTGGATTCAAACAGCTCAGGTGTGTGTGGCTGGTGCCTTAGCCACATGAGCCACAGGCGCTGAGCCTAATTTTTATTTTTTTATAGAGACAAGGTCTTGCTGATGTTGCCCAGGCTAGTCTCCAACTCCTGGCCTCAAGCGATACTCCGACTGCAGTGAGCTATCATACTTGGCCTCAAAACGATTCTTTTATTTCAGCCCTAAAGAATATCCATATAATGTTAATACATTGCCAGAAACACAAGTGGGCCCTGCGGAAGGTCTTATTTTTAGGCACCCCCTACTACTACTTAGCTTTTAATTTAGGAGGATTGAGGGAGGGGTACATGCCAGGAAACCACTCCTATAAACAGAATGTCTTCTCCTGTGCCTCACTGTTATTATTTTAGTTATGAGCCAAGCCAGCTGCTCCACACACTTGGTAAGCATTAACTCTAACATTACAGAAAAATTCCAAGCCCCCAAAAGTTTAACAGCAACAAATTTCACTGACAAAATCAAGTCAACAAATGTCCTGTTACCTCTGCAGTTCACAAAGTAAATTTCACACAACCCAGTGCAGATTGAGAAGCTTACGTGTCCTAGCAAGAGATAACAGAAAGCGGGAAATAATTTATTCCTACCGGTCAATTCAGCTCGGAGATGAAGTTTGCTGGTCCAGTCTCTAAGACTCCCTGTCAGCATGGCCTGCAGTGTAGGAGCAGCACCATATAAAAGATGAAGCCCCAAATCAGCGCTCAGAACAACTGCTTCCCTGGTGCAGCCGCCAGTAACTACCTCACAGTCACTCCACCTCCTGGGATCTTAATTTCCTTAACTATGAGAAAAATGAGTTCCATTAAAACGGTTTCAGATCAACTTTCCATGAACTCTTTAAAAAAATACAAGAAAGGCCAGGTGCGGTGGCTCACACCTGTAATCCTAGCACTCTGGGAGGTGGAGGCAAGTGGATGTTTGAGCTCAGGAATTCAAGACCAGCCAGAGCCAGTGTGAGACCCCGTCTCTAAAAATAGCCAGGCACTGTGGCGGGCACCAGTAGTCCCAGTTACCTGGAAGGCTGAGGCAAGAGGATCAGTTGAGCCCGAGAGTTTGAGGTTGCTGTGAGCTATGATGCCAAAGCACTCTACCAAGGATGACAAAAACACAGAAAGAAAGAAAGAAATACAAGAAAAATCACAAGCATCCCCAATCATAAAAGGGGCCACAGTCTTTTTCAGTGGACTAAAAGCTGCTCTGAAAGTAGTGAGTTACCTCACTAGACTGTTCACAGTCACAGGTTGAACTCCTGGGTGTACTCCTCCCTCTTCTTACTACTGCAATTGGCTAATCTTAAAAATAAATAAATAAACAAACAGACTCCACTAAAATATGTTACGGCAAGTTAATAGTGCCTAGGTTGTGCAACCACTTTTATAGCTGTAATCTCTTCTCAATGGAGTAGGGAAAATACTTACTACTGGATGGGGGGAAAAGTACTCTGGAACATTGCTAGGATAACCATTATGGAAAGTTTTTGGCAACATCTATTAAATTTAAAAGTATACATGCAGTTTTAACCCAGCCAACTCCTCTCCTGGGCCCTAAAACCATAGCACAAGTTTTCTTTTTTTTTTTTTGAGACAGAGCCTCAAGCTGTCCCCCTGGTTAGAGTGCTGTCACATCACAGCTCACAGCAACCTCCAACTCCTGGGCTCAAGCAAGTCTCCTGCCTCCACCGCCCAAGTGGCTGAGACCACAGGCACCCGCCATAATACCTGGCTATTTTTTGGTTGAAGCCATCATTGTTGTTTGGAGGGCCCGGGCTGGATTCGAACCTGCCACCTTAGGTGTATGTGGCTGGCGCCTTAGCCACTTGAGCCATAGGCGCTGAGCCAGCACAAGTTTTCAAGGGCAGATACAAGAACGTTCATTGCACATGAACGCCTGCAGTGTGTGAGCACCCTTTACATCCTTAGCCAAACTAAAGAAACAAACCAAGGCTGGGCATGGTGGCTCACGCCTGTAATCCTAGCACTCTGGGAGGCGGAGGAGAGTGGATTCCTTGACCTCATGGGTTCGAGACTAGCCTGAGCTAAAGTGAGACCTTGTCTCTACTAAAAATACAAAACACTGAGGCAAGAGGATTGCTTAAGCCCAAGAGTTAGAGGTTGTTGTGAGCTATGATGTCTCCATGGCACTCTACCTAGGATAAATAATTAAATAAATACACAAGAAAATAAAATAAAAAACCAAAACAAACAGGGAACAAAGCACATGCCCTTTAACAGGGAAACTATTCATTAAAATGACTTCCAACCAGTGGAATATTAGGCAGCCATTAAAAACAATGCATGAAATCTATTCCAGCTGACTAGAAAGATTGTCCAATCTTTTATTAATGACAAAAGAGATACCTAGAAGTGTAGATAATTTTTTTGCCCTATTTGGTTTGATTAAAAAAAAAAAAGAGGAGGAAGGGAAGAGGAAAGGATCCCTGTACATTTATGATCATATGAGCCTATACAGAGGTATATACGGCCTCGGGTAGTTAGATTGATGGGGGTGGCAGGATGAACGCGTGTATAAGTGGAAGCTAGACTTTCAGGGAAGGGAATGGAGAAAATTCTATACTTAGAATTTTCAGTACATGAGGAAATTTTAAAAAGTAAGAATTCGGGGCAGTGCCTGTGGCTCAAAGGAGTAGGATGCCGGCCCCATATACTGGAGGTGGCGGGTTCAAACCCTGCCCCAG